ACAGCGATTCGGACTGTGCTATCCCATTCCTAATAAGTACAATTACCTTGAGTTGAATCGAAGTCAGCATTATTAAAATAATAGGCACCACCTACATCGTGGTTATTTTCTTTTGAGTTTTGAAGTTGAAGAGATTGAGGTGAGTTTTTTGGTGGTTGCATAGTCGTAAACTTAGATGTTCTCGGAGAACCGGACTTCATTTTTCGACATTCGGGATTATGATGCGTTCTGGAGTTTATTCTTTTTAGTCTGTAGCTAAATCTTACTGCTTTTCCCTGGCATGGTGTTCTATCTGAGCAAATCTCAATATCGTTGAAAATCTGTTTTGGTCTCGATTAATTGAAAGAAGATGGAACTCACTAGCCTCTTCAAATGATCTGAAGATCGATGGCTGCATATCACGATCGAGGAAATTATTTATGTCGATCTATCGCTCTGGATTCTGTAAGGTTGGGGTTGATGTGATACTTGAGCGGATCGAGAATATTTATGTCAACTTGCAACCCTTTTTATTATTCGTATGGTTGCAGTTGTGATTATCATCGTTATCTAAAAACAGAGTCTTTAACACATCTGAAATCGAGACAACTCACACATGAATATTAATGTCGAGTTAGAGACCAGTTTTGTAAGATTATTGGAGTAGTTAATCTTTATTATTCAAAATTTTGTGTTATGTATTTGAATCACACTGAGAGTATTAGTTGCTTCATAAGTGGTAGTATGTCTCACTTACTTATACCAACTCGTTTCACGAATATTCTTGATGTACCGTAGTATACGTCAAGATTCTGTTTTTGGCTGCTTATCATTTCCTATTTATACGCATTTATGAACAGATCAGCACAGATAACTACAGTTTTCTATCACTGTCAACGTAATGTCAATGTACAGCTGAAGACAATTCAGAGACATTAAATCGGATTACATTTCGAAAATTCACATTCCAAATCTGACTGTATATTGAGCTATTAACTCAAAATCATCTTCGCGATTATTGTAGCGAAATTTCATAATCACACATGATAAGGAGCCACTGTGTAACTCCTTGTGATGCTGCTGACGATGGAGACTAGCGTAATTGGCAGGCTATCAACGGATTCTTCTACAAATGCTTCATTATGGAGACATTCATTTCGATACTGTTGCAAAATTAGGAGGAAATTACATTATCAAACAAACGGGAAGTATTATTGATAGTTCCTTGGCTTGATGAAGTGAGGATACAGACATATCTTCAAGATAACGATAACTGAACTCATTTGATACTAGATGAGTAATAATTACAGTGTTTATGCATATCTGATGCAAGACCATCTATGAGTACACATGAAAACTGTTTGTTTAAACTTCACTCTCTCTATACTTAGTAGTAACTATTTTTAAAGTGAAAATTTAATTCAACCTTCCTCCGTATGAGTGAGTGACTGTCGGTCATACGAAAGCATCATTATTGAACAACATTCCTCATTATGTTGAACATTTATATCAGGCTAAATATACAAATGAAAAAACCATCATATATATTTAGTTAGATTACAAGGTAGTGATAAACAACAAGAAAGTTCAATCAGTGACATTTGCAAAAACAATATCTGAGGTCAACAAACTGATGTTCTTGTTCTTATAATCACACGATCAGGTAGTGTATACTACTATCATCATCATCATCATCATTATTATTACCTTGATAAAAGTATTTCATATGAACATAACGCACATTAGATAGGAAGAACACAAATAGGAAATGTAATGAATATGTATGTAATATTGAAATAGATATTCCTGTCTGATTCGTCATTTAACAGTCCTCAGTGTTAAAAGATTTGAGTGGGCAAATGTAGCTCATGTTTTGATTAGCTCAAACAAATATGGTAGATCAAGCATAGTATCTTTTTGTTGGAAAATATTACCTTCCTGATCACTTCAATCATTCTCCTTTGTTGTCTAATGCATTATGGTCTCGAGTACAGTGTAATTGTAAAAGATTAGCGTTCAGTTGACTCTAATGAAGATGACAAAGTGCCATCAAATAAAATAACAAACAACTAGTAGACTGTTATCTCACATCACATTCTCTCGCAAACCATCACCAATCAGCATAACACTTATTGAAGCTGTGTGCTCCGAGATCGAATCCGTCAAATAGCATCAGTTCCCTTAAGAATACAGGTACACCTTGCTGATTAGTGACAAGTAGCAGGCGAATCGGGTTCAGAGTTTTCTGTTGATCACCTCCAAACATCATCTTATCTGTTTACTCAGTTGAAGATTTGACGGAATCGACTACTTAGCATACTGTAAAAACACTTTGATAATAAAATTCCCCTAATATTTATTTCAACTTCAATTGTTCTGTAAACTCTAGGTTGATTGCTTAATTGTGAATGTTCGAATAATGGTGGATAGTGTGTGTTGGGTTTATTGAAGCATCTGAATCGGTTGAGTTTGTATGGGTTCAGTTCTTTGGGCGTGATAAGAATTTTAGAAATGATAATGAATGTCACTCTCTATCATTACATTCATATGACTGATAATCAGTGATGCTAACTGACACAACAAGACCATAGATAATAATAAACATAAGCAAAGAGGCTAACTATGTTTCCACTAATATCGTCAATTGATATTATACATTCCTTGTTAAAAATAGTTTTTTCATTAGCATCAATTGAGATTGTAGTAAAGGAGAACACTAGTGACGACAAACGTATGTACTTGAATAGAGAATTACAGAATCCCCCAGAACAATCTGAGAACCATACAGTAAATTCTTATTTCGCAAAATGTCAACCAATTGTCTCGCACTTGGTTGTTTATTCGTCCCAACACTAATCATTCCCTGTTTTAGTTGTCATTCTCTTTCCTTTGAGATTCTCAACTCTCTGTCATCACGCATTTGACTTTGTTTCATGAGATATACTGCTTATATCTGTTGACGTCAGTGAACACTTTTCTCCGATGATGTTTGGTAATTTATACGCTACATTATGGACTGAGCTTGATTTAGGAATAGTCAGTTGATCAGTTGCTTTTATCCCTTATAACAAATAAGGATTATGGATAAAAATGATTTGTGATGTTCCTCACAAAATTGATTTATCATAATAAAACAATTAATAATTATTGAATATATATGGATGGACATTTTTATTCTCCCATTTGATTACTAACATCCAGTTAAGTAGTATCTGATTGTTAAATACGATTTCATAATCTTCAATGAACAATAGTTCCCTAATACTTTTCATTCTTCATCAAACAACGAGGGCATCATTTCAATGTGTGTATCTTTAAATAAGAAAGATCTAGTTTTATGTGTAAAGCTAATACATGAAACGCTAAAAACCTGCAACGTGTAAATGATCTCAAAATTACTTATTTATATCTGTTACTCCTCATGAAGGAGCATAGGTCAACCAACAGCAATCCTACTGCATCCTACTCTTATGACCAACACTTTCCAGTTGTTTGCAGTTGCGGCAGCTTCCAATTCTGGTAGTAGTGTGCTTTTTGACCTTACACTTTTCTGTTTACATTCATGGTTTAAAGTAGGGTCTGACCTCGTAATGCAGTTTGATGTTTTCCTCGAAGTAAGCTCTATCCCATCTTAACTATTTTTTCTAAGATTCCTCTCTAGCCGAAAGTTGGTTTCAGTCGTTTCGAAAAGCATTTTTATCATACAGTCAATTGTCAATCGAAGTATTTTTGAAATTACCTACCGTGATTATTCAGTTTAAAATCCGATAAAAAGACACACAGCAGTGTGCATGCACGGTTCTGCATAATGGACTCTGACACAAGGTATTTGAATTAACTCCTGCACAGTTACCGTTTGTACCACTGAACTAGCATCCAATCATATCAAATCGGTAACAACAAGCGCATGTTCTCTGGTATTCTTAGATTTTTTTCTCATGAATTTCGATGATTTTAGATTTCTCCATATTAATTCCAGTTTTTCATCAAGCTAATGGATTATTACTTACATATTCTATTGATATGAAGGTACTGATTAATATCCCTGAGGCCAATAACCTATGGCGTAAAAATGAAAGTTCATCTTTAATTACATGGGACTTCTCATATATTATTCTCCTAGATAAATCATATTTATATTTGATTATATTTCTATTATCAGCTCATCAATTAGTGATGGTCTTAAGAACGTTGAAACGTGACCCCATGCTTCTATGGACAACTGCTTGTGGCCCATCGCGCACTCTCTTTTTATTGTAGAGCACTTGATGTGCTGGCTTTGTGCTTCAAAATGACCATCCACCGGAGACATAAGTTGATGGGATAAGGTGAAGTATCACACATTCTGAGTTGTCTCTTTATAATCATTGCATTAGTTATGATAAAGCAACATTGCTTTACATGTGGGCGGTTTGATGATAGTACCTTATTGCTGTCACAGGCTTATGTACTCATTAGCTCGACATCGCCCTCGAGCATTAAGTTACTGCTTTTAGTCTTACTAATCTCACAACAAAAGTTTGACAAAGTATGACGGTAAGCAATACAATTTTTACCCTACATATATCAGTTGATTTATGACGGTAGGCAGGCCTGATCAACACGTCAAGGTAACAATTACGTTCAGTCTCATTGTTTATATACATCATTATTTAACCACGTTAGAAGATGTCCTCAAACACGTAGAAAATGCTTCCTTCTAACAGGTGAATAAATTATTACACGAAGAGTAAGATGAATATTCTATGTAATTCCTCTATTTAAAGTCGTTATGAATAAACGACAGATGAATTTTGCTAGTTATACCTTCACCAGATTAAGGAATTTTTGACCGATAATCTTTAACTACTCAAATGAAATTTCAGTAGTATTTCACTACACAAATAATTGTGTTCATATCATTCACTCTATTATTATTATTATTATTGAATTATTCGGTCGGTTAAAAATAAATTGAGTTCTCATTAGATAATAGAAATGATGATTGAAATTACCAAGAATAACTGACTATCACTGAATCTTTATCTGTAATTGAAATAATGGACCCCATCATAACAATAATGTGTATGATTGATGTTATTATTATTAATATAATAATCAACATCATCCAAATCATCATCATCATCATCATCATCATCATCATCATCATCATCATCATCATCATCATCATCATCATCATCATCATCATCATCATCATCATCATCATCATCATCATCATCATCATCATCATCATCATCATCATCATCATCATCATCATCATCATCATCATCATCATCATCATCATCATCATCATCATCATCATCATCATCATCATCATCATCATCATCATCATCATCATCATCATCATCATCATCATCATCATCATCATCATCATCATCATCATCATCATCATCATCATCATCATCATCATCATCATCATCATCATCATCATCATCATCATCATCATCATCATCATCATCATCATCATCATCATCATCATCATCATCATTATCATCATCATCATCATCATCATCATCATCTGCGTCACCATCATCATCATCATCCAAATCATCATCATCATCCAAATCATCATCATCATCTGCATCATCACAATATGCTCGAGTACAAGCTTATTATATTTCGATTACTACAAACTCATCAGCAAACGCGTCAATGTCCGACTAATTTGACTGTTGTAAGCCAAGTTTAACAAATGGAAGAAAAGCATTACATCGGATCATAGAAGTAGGAATAATGCCCGTCAACTGAACTGACGAGCTTTAGGTCCTGTGAACTGTATTATACCTATAAACCACTGACACAGCATACAGTGAGTTCTTAACTGATATCAGTTAACGGGTGATGTGGCACAATCAACCTGTTTTTGCTGAGCTGTCACAGATTAAGATGATCCGCGGTTCAATACTTCATGATTTTCAGTGGTTTTCGAGGTTATATTAGTTCGTGATGTTAATTCATTTCAACGATCAGTACAAATCATTATTGATGAAAGGTAACAATTGTGCATTATTTATTACTTTTGTAAAATAACAATGTTAAGTTCGATTTAGTTCATTGTCACTAGGGTAAACATAATTTCGTTTTTGTCCTTTTTTCGTTTAACATGGTTATCTCAATCAATAAATCAATATTTTATTGATGGTGAACATAAGAATATCTGGTAGCACAATGTTTAAAAGATCAAAAAAAAGGAGGGGGGTAAAGGATAAGAACAGAAATCAATTGATGTGGAAATGTAGGAACACATGAAATCTGAGATAGTTGATTGACAATTTTGCAAATGAGGAATATGCTGTATTATTATACAATTCATAATATGAAAATGTGTTTCTTTCAAATGAATACATATATTATCTCTACTTTAATTTACACCGTCTGGAAGTTCGAGAAAGTTCTTATGAATATTCTTTTCTGAGTCTTAAGCTAAGAAAGGGCATCATGACTTTGTGAAAGGTATACAAACTGGTTTGTCTAATTATGCTGTGGATTGTGTGCTGAATTATAATATATAAGTGAATGTGCATTATGACGAAGTGAGTGTGAACACGCAGTTAATAAATATGAAAAAGAGTTCAACGTCTGTGTCGATGTTGTGTTATCTGAAAGCAATTAAAGAGTGGTTTGTATTAGATATCGGAACGTTCTGAACTATGGTTTAATCGCTTTGTGGCGTTAAAAGAATCAATGAATTTTTCGCAACCGCAAATGGAATTATTTTCATGCATGGGTTCAATTCAGTTGATAAGACAATGTTTGTCAGACAAGCTGTCTATTATCTGTGGTCATACATGGCCTGAATAATGAGAGAACTGATCAATTTTGTTTGTCCCTTCGACATATACATACATAAACACATATTTGTAATATCAGAAACATTCCGAAAGAGTGATCTATTACTGTAAAGTTCCGTCCATAACTTGTATTAAACTACAATTGACATTCTGTCAACATGACCTTTTTCACATGTTTGATAGCATTTGAAATGGATTGGAGTGAATCTATTTTTGCTGCAAAACTAACTTACGATTCTTCATACAAAACTTTAATAATTGTCTGAAAGACTAAGACAAACTCCAGTTGCAAATGGTTCAGTGTTGACTCAAAAGTATGCAAGCTGCGAAAAGCTGGAATTCAATATACAAAGCAGGAATCTTATCTCACGAAAACAATTGATGTATGCAACCACCAAATCTTGATTCAAAGAATGCGGAACGAGTGTGATGTCGGTGAAGATAACTGTGGTTTAGATCATTCTTAAGACAAAGCTTTGAAGGAAACCATTGACCCTATTCTACACATATCAACAAAAAGATCATAGTAGAAAACCTAATCAGTCTTGATGACACCTTTTTAACCATAGTTTGTCAATCATCATTTACTAAATAAATATGGAAGTGTTTAACTAAGTATTGATAAAATGTTTCGACAGATCACTCTATCAAATTTAGCATTCACACGGAACTCATAGTTGACTACAATGATCACAATATCACTTATGTGCACTACTACTTATCTACGAGTTATTATGAGCCTCTCTAATCTTGTCGAATTCTTTACATTGAAGACTATTACATCGACTATTTAGTTATGAATGAGTGCATAAGTGTCTGTGATAACTCATATACAGATATTAGGTATATCATCGGTCGAGATCTTAAGATTTAGCAGTTTTTTCCTAAATGTCGAACATTTATCAGGTGTTCTTCCGCTTCTTCACTTTTCTTTCATGCGGTTTTCACTAACTGTTAAGTTTGTCTTACATTGTTCCTAATCGCTCTCCTTCCACTTCTTTGTTTATTGTTTTATACTACTTATTCGTATTCAGTAAGCAGTTGTATACTTGACAATTTTCACATTTACATTGTAACGCAAGTTGTACTGTAACATTCGGAAACGTTCCCATATATTTATAATGTTTATTGTACTTATCATTGTATTTGTCATTGTAATTACTGTACTTTAATTACTGTAACGGTTATCCACAGTTGCGGATTTGTTTAAACACAACAGTTTCCATATTGTTTGCTCTTGGTTCGAGTTTCGATTGTTCATAAACTGTTGTCCAATTTCGACACAGCCATCGGCTGTCTTTGTACTGTGGAAGCCTTTACTATTTCATTCTTGAACGACGCGTTAAACGCCTAGACACCTCACAAGTTGAGGTTTGTAATTAAACTTTGTGTTTATATAATAATAGAACCGCTTTTGTAGACAAATCGTTGTTTTGGAACTTCGATTTTGCGCGTATCTCAATCGGGTCATTTGGACGCTTTGATAGACTTAACAGTTCTCAACTTTGGTCTCATTGGTGTGGATACAGTTCTGAACTTTGGTCCTAATTGGTGAAGATACTTGCTGTAACTAATTTGGTCGGAATCGAGTCTGGTTCATTCATCCCAACGATGACGAAAACGAGAATGATGAAGTACAACGATGACAGTTCCCAAGACACAGACAATTCTAATGCTGAAAATGTCATTCCTTCAGTTTCTAAGGTGAATTCACCTATTTCTTTAAATCTTGCTCTTGATAATGTTTTACTTAACTCCAAAGACAGCTGTTCTGTAAGGGACAACTATGTAGAGACTAGATGTAGCATAGAAGACTGAGTTGTTTCTAGGGAAAAGGAAGTAGAAAAGATTGAGTTAGAGAACTTCAACTACGCAAACGATTGTTAGAGTTAACCCCGAACTCTTTAAGCCAAGTGAGAAAAGCAAGAGATTAACGAGTCATTGGGGTCTCGATCTGGGGACGTAACACCAGCAGCCCCGTTAAGGCGCCGATACACTACCGCACTTCTGAGCGAAGCGGTGCAACTCAAAGCACAAGCGGATAGTATCAAGTCACTAGTTATGACAGTCAGTTTACCTAAGATAGAGGTCATGAAATTTGATGGAAGTCATTTGAAATTTTGGACGTTCATAAAGGGATTCAAGGCTAACATTGCCGACAGAGTAGAGGATGATACTCAGAAATTAATGTACCTGATACATTATTGTGAAGGCGCAGCTAAGGACGCTATCGAGCACTGTTTTATTACCAGAAAGAGAAGGTTATACCAAAGCTATTAGCATTTTACACGAACAGTTTGGCAAACCACATGACATAGTAGAAGCGTTCTTAACAGAATTGTTAAATTGAACGCCACTAAATCAAGACGATGTATCGGGACTACGGAAATTAACAAGACTCATGACTAACTGTAAGATAGCCTTGACACAGATGGGCAGAAATGCCGATCTGAATTGTTCGACCAATCTAAAACGAATAGTGAGACGACTTCCACGAAGTATACAGTTTAAATGGGCGGAAGTTGCAGACGATATTCTAAGAAGAGGGCTAGAACCGAATTTTGATGATTTGTTGCAATTCTTGAAAAAGAAAGTGTCAATCGCCACGAACACTTATGGACAGTTAGCAAGTGGGAGCTACAAAGCTCAAACGACATCGAACAACCAGTCTGCTTCTATTAGAGCCACGATCCATAAATGGTCGAGTAAAGGAAAAGTTCATTGTGTAATTTGCTGTGATACCCACGAAGTCGTATCTTGCCCACAACTGCTAGCAGTAAGACACAACGAAAGGCTAGAATTACTGAAGAAGTTTAAACTTTGCTTTAATTGTTTAAAACCCAATCATCGAGCAAAAGACTGTCGGCAATCCGTGTTGTGTGAAATTGATGGCTGCAAGCGACGTCATCATAGAATTCTTCACAACACAGAACCTGATGCTAAACAAACATGCTGTAATTCTACTTATTCTGCTGGAACGTATTTAGGATTTGTGCCAGTCAGGTTACATGGTCCCACAGGACATGTGGATACCTATGCATTATTGGATAATGGCTCAGACTCGACACTACTGCTTAGTGATGTGGCAAAGCAGGTAGGAATTTCAGGTACAGTGACAAGATTGAACATATCTTCTGCAATTGGAGCGTCATCTCAGAACGCTGAACTTATTAATTTCGAAATCGAATCTTTAGACAAGACTAATCGAATCAAAATCGAAGGTGCATATGCTATAAACAACCTACCTATTAAAAGGGCAGAAATCCCACCAACGGACTTCCAAGAAAGATGGAAACACATGAAAGGTGTACAGCTACCCACCATAGCTTGTGACAAGGTTGGTTTGTTACTTGGTGTTGACGTTCCAGAGGCCCACTGGGTTATCGATCAGCGTATCGGGAAACCTAAATAACCCTATGCATCACTAACTATGTTAGGATGGGCTTTATTTGGACCGACAGGTCAACTTGATAAAACTTCAGCCTTCATAAACTGTTTAGAAGCAAAAGGTTCCGTCGAGGAGGATATTCTCAAATTAGTTGAACATGAATTTTCTGAAAATAAGTACTCTGATAAAGTTGCCATGTCCCTATGTGATAAGACCATTATGGAAATTACTGACAAACAAACAGTATTGCTTGATGGACATTATCAAGTGCCGATGCCCTGGAAAGTGGATTGGGACTCACTTCCAAGGAGTAGATGTAGTTTCATCATAAGAAAGTCTAGAATAGCACCCCTGAAATTTGTCAATGTTTCTCGTCTTGAACTACAAGCCTCAGTACTGGCAGTGAAGTTGATGAGGCAAATAGTAGAAGAAATAAAGCTAAAGGACATGACTGAAATCTACTTCTGGATTGATTTTATGATAGTATTAAATTACATACTTAATACGACGTCACGTTTCAAGTATGTAGCATCATCCATCAATCCTGCTGATCTAGCTTCCAGAGGAATGTGTAAGTATGACCCTAACCGTATTAAAGCTTGGCCTTCAGGTCGCGAGTTCCTAACGACTGAGAAAGATAAGTGGCCTGAGTATAGACGAGAAGAAATATTAAAACTCCCAGTCAAGCTAGAGTTAAAGAACGCCACAACCTTGGACACCATGACTACAGTTTTTCCCCTTGATAAATTTATATCCCATTTTTCGTCATGGATTAAACTCAAACAAGGCACAGCTTGGCTCATCAGATTCAAATGTCACCTCTACAATAAAACGATCGTAAGGGGACCCTTTACGCCTAACAAATTGGATAATGCCGAAAGAGACTTATTAAAATACATAAAAGTGCAAGACTTTGAGGAAATTAGACAATGGATTAAAGGACACAAGCATTCTGATAACATCCTGTCCAAAATTCATGTTATTGATAAGTTACGTCCAATCTTGATTGACAACCTGATTCGCGTAGGAGGACGTTTGAACTGTAGTGATCTCCCGTTAGAGCAAAAACATCCGATTATTCTACCTAGCAAACACCCTATAACGGAGCTTATCATTCGTCACCACCATCAAGCTGACGGACACATGGGGGTGTACTACACACTAGCCTCCTTGCGCAAAGGGTTTTGGATCTTAAAGGGAACTACTGCAATTAAGAGGATCATACAAAAATGTATAGGCTGTTGTATTAGATCAGCCAGGCCGATGTCACAACTGATGGGAGACTTGCCACCTACGCGGATAACAACCGACTTCCCGTTCGCAACGACAGGAGTAGACTATTTAGACCCAATCATGATTAAGGAGGGACGCAAACCTCGAAAGTGTTACGGATGACTGAACAGTAGAGGATAGAGAGACTCTTCAGAGTGACTGTGGCTAGAGTAAATTGTACCATTGTCACCTCTGAATGTTTTTACGTTAGTCCTCAATCAGCGAAAGTAAGGAAAGACATGCTGTCTTTGGGGGGCAGTGTTAAGTTTGTCTTACATTGTTCCTAATCGCTCTCCTTCCACTTCTTTGTTTATTGTCTTATACTACTTATTCATATTCAGTAAGCAGTTGTATACTTGACAATTTTCACATTTACATTGTAACGCAAGTTGTACTGTAACATTCGGAAACGTTCCCATGTATTTATAATGTTTATTGTACTTATCATTGTATTTGTCATTGTAATTACTGTACTTTAATTACTGTAACGGTTATCCACAGTTGCGGATTTGTTTAAACACAACAGTTTCCATATTGTTTGCTCTTGGTTCGAGTTTCGATTGTTCATAAACTGTTGTCCAATTTCGACACAGCCATCGGCTGTCTTTGTACTGTGGAAGCCTTTACTATTTCATTCTTGAACGACGCGTTAAACGCCTAGACACCTCACAAGTTGAGGTTTGTAATTAAACTTTGTGTTTATATAATAATAGAACCGCTTTTGTAGACAAATCGTTGTTTTGGAACTTCGATTTTGCGCGTATCTCAATCGGGTCATTTGGACGCTTTGATAGACTTAACAGTTCTCAACTTTGGTCTCATTGGTGTGGATACAGTTCTGAACGGTGACGATAATGAAGATGATGAGGCGGATGATGAAGATTATGTCTATGATGAGGTTTGTGACGATGATGAAGTATATGAGACTGATGAATGTAATCCTGATAATGTGGATGATGATGATGTTGTGAATGATGATGTTAATAATAATTGTATTATTTATGATAACAATTTGTTCAATCTAACTAATCGTTTCAATGCGATTTAATAGTAATTCTTATTTTTATTTTCTACCAATTCTCCTTTGATTGGTATAGGATGATGGTATTCAAAGAAGGAGAATACTAGAATGGAACAATTAAGAAGAATGTGATTTTGATTGTGTACAAATTTGATTTTACATTGTATAATATAATCTTAAAATAATGCACATTTGTGTTTTCATTGTGTTAATCGGTAGATAGTGAATGTGGGCAGCTTAGAGCGTACTAGTTAAAGTCTGACCACTGTGTAAGTTCAGTGAAGTGTACGAGTTGCTCGGTTGTGTAGCTGTGGTAGTGAGCACAAATGAACGTATTATATTCGCCATTCGTGATCAGAGCGCAATCACGTACGAAGGAATCATCAGTTAGTACAATTACAATTGATGATTCCTTCGTACGTGATTGCGCTCTGATCACGAATGGCGAATATAATACGTTCATTTGTGCTCACTACCACAGCTACACAACCGAGCAACTCGTACACTTCACTGAACTTACACAGTGGTCAGACTTTAACTAGTACGCTCTAAGCTGCCCACATTCACTATCTACCGATTAACACAATGAAAACACAAATGTGCATTATTTTAAGATTATATTATACAATGTAAAATCAAATTTGTACACAATCAAAATCACATTCTTCTTAATTGTTCCATTCTAGTATTCTCCTTCTTTGAATACCATCATCCTATACCAATCAAAGGAGAATTGGTAGAAAATAAAAATAAGAATTACTATTAAATCGCATTGAAACGATTAGTTAGATTGAACAAATTGTTATCATAAATAATACAATTATTATTAACATCATCATTCACAACATCATCATCATCCACATTATCAGGATTACATTCATCAGTCTCATATACTTCATCATCGTCACAAACCTCATCATAGACATAATCTTCATCATCCGCCTCATCATCTTCATTATCGTCACCGTTCAGAACTGTATCCACACCAATGAGACCAAAGTTGAGAACTGTTAAGTCTATCAAAGCGTCCAAATGACCCGATTGAGATACGCGCAAAATCGAAGTTCCAAAACAACGATTTGTCTACAAAAGCGGTTCTATTATTATATAAACACAAAGTTTAATTACAAACCTCAACTTGTGAGGTGTCTAGGCGTTTAACGCGTCGTTCAAGAATGAAATAGTAAAGGCTTCCACAGTACAAAGACAGCCGATGGCTGTGTCGAAATTGGACAACAGTTTATGAACAATCGAAACTCGAACCAAGAGCAAACAATATGGAAACTGTTGTGTTTAAACAAATCCGCAACTGTGGATAACCGTTACAGTAATTAAAGTACAGTAATTACAATGACAAATACAATGATAAGTACAATAAACATTATAAATACATGGGAACGTTTCCGAATGTTACAGTACAACTTGCGTTACAATGTAAATGTGAAAATTGTCAAGTATACAACTGCTTACTGAATATGAATAAGTAGTATAAGACAATAAACAAAGAAGTGGAAGGAGAGCGATTAGGAACAATGTAAGACAAACTTAACACTGCCCCCCAAAGACAGCATGTCTTTCCTTACTTTCGCTGATTGAGGACTAACGTAAAAACATTCAGAGGTGACAATGGTACAATTTACTCTAGCCACAGTCACTCTGAAGAGTCTCTCTATCCTCTACTGTTCAGTCATCCGTAACACTTTCGAGGTTTGCGTCCCTCCTTAATCATGATTGGGTCTAAATAGTCTACTCCTGTCGTTGCGAACAGGAAGTCGGTTGTTATCCGCGTAGGTGGCAAGTCTCCCATCAGTTGTGACATCGGCCTGGCTGATCTAATACAACAGCCTATACATTTTTGTATGATCCTCTTAATTGCAGTAGTTCCCTTTAAGATCCAAAACCCTTTGCGCAAGGAGGCTAGTGTGTAGTACACCCCCATGTGTCCGTCAGCTTGATGGTGGTGACGAATGATAAGCTCCGTTATAGGGTGTTTGCTAGGTAGAATAATCGGATGTTTTTGCTCTAACGGGAGATCACTACAGTTCAAACGTCCTCCTACGCGAATCAGGTTGTCAATCAAGATTGGACGTAACTTATCAATAACATGAATTTTGGACAGGATGTTATCAGAATGCTTGTGTCCTTTAATCCATTGTCTAATTTCCTCAAAGTCTTGCACTTTTATGTATTTTAATAAGTCTCTTTCGGCATTATCCAATTTGTTAGGCGTAAAGGGTCCCCTTACGATCGTTTTATTGTAGAGGTGACATTTGAATCTGATGAGCCAAGCTGTGCCTTGTTTGAGTTTAATCCATGACGAAAAATGGGATATAAATTTATCAAGGGGAAAAACTGTAGTCATGGTGTCCAAGGTTGTGGCGTTCTTTAACTCTAGCTTGACTGGGAGTTTTAATATTTCTTCTCGTCTATACTCAGGCCACTTATCTTTCTCAGTCGTTAGGAACTCGCGACCTGAAGGCCAAGCTTTAATACGGTTAGGGTCATACTTACACATTCCTCTGGAAGCTAGATCAGCAGGATTGATGGATGATGCTACATACTTGAAACGTGACGTCGTATTAAGTATGTAATTTAATACTATCATAAAATCAATCCAGAAGTAGATTTCAGTCATGTCCTTTAGCTTTATTTCTTCTACTATTTGCCTCATCAACTTCACTGCCAGTACTGAGGCTTGTAGTTCAAGACGAGAAACATTGACAAATTTCAGGGGTGCTATTCTAGACTTTCTTATGATGAAACTACATCTACTCCTTGGAAGTGAGTCCCAATCCACTTTCCAGGGCATCGGCACTTGATAATGTCCATCAAGCAATACTGTTTGTTTGTCAGTAATTTCCATAATGGTCTTATCACATAGGGACATGGCAACTTTATCAGAGTACTTATTTTCAGAAAATTCATGTTCAACTAATTTGAGAATATCCTCCTCGACGGAACCTTTTGCTTCTAAACAGTTTATGAAGGCTGAAGTTTTATCAAGTTGACCTGTCGGTCCAAATAAAGCCCATCCTAACATAGTTAGTGATGCATAGGGTTATTTAGGTTTCCCGATACGCTGATCGATAACCCAGTGGGCCTCTGGAACGTCAACACCAAGTAACAAACCAACCTTGTCACAAGCTATGGTGGGTAGCTGTACACCTTTCATGTGTTTCCATCTTTCTTGGAAGTCCGTTGGTGGGATTTCTGCCCTTTTAATAGGTAGGTTGTTTATAGCATATGCACCTTCGATTTTGATTCGATTAGTCTTGTCTAAAGATTCGATTTCGAAATTAATAAGTTCAGCGTTCTGAGATGACGCTCCAATTGCAGAAGATATGTTCAATCTTGTCACTGTACCTGAAATTCCTACCTGCTTTGCCACATCACTAAGCAGTAGTGTCGAGTCTGAGCCATTATCCAATAATGCATAGGTATCCACATGTCCTGTGGGACCATGTAACCTGACTGGCACAAATCCTAAATACGTT